TTTCAACTTTTTGCTCATCCTTTTTTTGCTCCTCTTTTTTCATGCAAAACTATTTTGACAGCTGTAAAGTGTAAGACTGTTGAACAATTATATTTTCTTGGATTAGAGCAACCAATCAATTATATGGCTTTCAATATTGTTGCTACCTGCAAAAGTAAGAAACAAAATTAATGAACTCCAAGATCCAATAATTTTTATCAAGATTATTGAAGAATGAAGAGTATTCAATTTCTTAGATAAGATTTTTGTTTCAAATATGCACCCACATAAGCCTTGGAGGAACTCCTTTGATGTTTCAGGAGCTGCAAACTAATAGTTAAATATTGGCATAGACCTTCCTCCATGAAACTGAAAAACAGACTACTCAGCAATTCTTTGGAAAAAACTACATCATCCAAGGCTTAAATATCTGTACAAGTTTCTCCCTTAGACTTCAGAGAAATAATAGGATTTTAGGGAGGTCCAGAATTCGGGCGAGGTTTGGGAATTCGCAAGTTTAATGCTTCTTTGTGGACAGCGGTCACTAGACATCTTTGTAATTATGGTCTTAGTTTTGTTCTTTTTTATTGGAATCCCTTTTTATAGCTAGCATGGGGCTCTTGTTAATTTTTGGCCTGTATTTCTGTATGCCCTTGTATTCTTTTAATTTGTTTTTTTTAATGAAAGTTTAGTTTCTTACCAAAAAAAAAAAAAAATAAAAAAAAAATAAGCACATTTAAGAAAATGATAAGGACTAGTACTTAAAACTGGATTTCCAATGCGTACATATCACAATGAGTTTATAGCTGGCTCTTTCATGAAATAGACTTTTCACTAATAATATGGAAAAAATGGGATTCTACCCAATCACTCCTGCAAGAAACTACTCCATATAGTTGCATTAGTCGTGGTCGAATTATAAGACTTGGAAAGTGGACAACTCAAATTATAAGTCATTTTGCATTACATTTCTTTAAACAAAGTTATTTATTTTTTTTTATGTGCATTTAATTTTCCTGTCCTTGTGTCGATTTTATTTCAGGAATAGGGAAATTTGGTGTTATGGAATGCACAATATACATATGGACTGTTTCTATTAGAAAAGTTGATGGAACTCTCTATTTGAATTATGAGACTAACCTTGTTTACTTCTTTTTAACTATAGGTTGGAGCAATCATCTCTGGTGTTCAACCTGGATTAACCATGGTTGTTGGTCCCCCTGGTACTGGAAAGACTGACACAGCTGTTCAAGTTCTAAATGTTCTTTATCACAATTGCCCATCACAGAGAACATTGATAATCACGCACTCAAATCAAGCTCTGAATGACCTATTCGAGAAAATAATGGAGGTAAATGAAGAAAACTGAACTGTTACTATCTTATAATTAATTAGGTCACGCCCTGTGTGTGAATGTGTGTGGGCACTACGGTGTTCATTTTTGTATACAGTTCATGATTTAAGCTATCATGGTGCATATACTTTTGAATCATATATTTATATATGTATGTATATACTTTTTCTGACCTCGCTAATGATCTCAGAGAGATGTTCCTGCCCGCTATCTGCTTCGCCTTGGTCAAGGTGAACAAGAATTGGCTACTGATCTTGATTTCAGCCGGCAAGGGCGTGTCAATTCGATGCTTGTGCGAAGGTTGGAATTGCTAAGTGAAGTGGCGAGGCTGGCAAGATCTCTCCAACTCCCTGAAGACGTTGGATATACTTGTGAAACTGCTGGATACTTTTGGTTACTGCATGTGTACTCACGCTGGGAGCAATTCATAGCCGCCTGTGCTGGAAATGAGGATAAATCAAATTTTGTCCAAGAGAGATTTCCCTTCAAGGATTTTTTCTCAAATTCACCAAATCCAGTTTTCACAGGTGAATCTTTTGATAAAGATATGCGGGCAGCTAAGGGGTGCTTTCGTCATCTTAAGACAATGTTTCAGGAGCTTGAAGAGTGTAGAGCTTTTGAATTACTCAAGTCTACAGCTGATCGTGCAAACTACTTGATGACTAAGCAGGCAAAGATTGTTGCAATGACATGCACTCATGCTGCCCTAAAGAGGAAAGATTTTCTTCGGTTAGGCTTCAAGTATGATAATTTGCTAATGGAAGAAAGTGCACAAATATTAGAAATTGAAACTTTCATACCAATGTTACTTCAGAGGCAGGAAGATGGTTATGCACGTCTCAAACGCTGCATTTTGATTGGTGATCACCATCAGTTGCCCCCAGTTGTGAAGAATATGGCTTTTCAAAAGTATAGCCATATGGATCAAAGTTTGTTTACAAGGTTTGTCAGATTGGGTATTCCTTATATCGAACTTAATGCTCAAGGTCGTGCTAGACCAAGTATAGCCAAGCTTTATAACTGGAGATATAGAGAATTGGGAGATCTTCCCTATTTGAAAGAGGCAGCAATCTTTCATAGAGCAAATGCTGGGTTCTCATATGATTATCAGCTAGTGGATGTGCCAGACTACCAAAGTAGGGGTGAGACTGCCCCTTCTCCTTGGTTTTATCAGAACGAGGGGGAAGCTGAATACGTTGTTAGTGTGTATATTTATATGCGTTTACTTGGGTACCCTGCAAATAAGATATCCATCTTGACAACTTACAATGGGCAGAAGCTTCTAATCCGAGATGTTATTAATCGTAGATGTGTACCATACAACTTCATTGGTGCCCCTAGCAAGGTATCTCCAAAATGGTTCACTTTATTCAAGCAATTACATTCTTTGTTGCTTATCGATTCTGAATTTTTAATCAATGGAGTCAGTATCCTTGTACACATCTTTTTTAGTTTTCTCAATTGCTTAGTTACTACGTAAACATTTGTTGTTGGTCTTTTGATTTGATGGTTTAACAAAACAGTCTAGGACGTGGATAAACTACCGTTTCTTCACCTGTCATCTTATTTTTGAAGTTTAGGGTTCTTCCAAGACAAAAAAAATAGGTACCCTTGAGTCTTCTCTTTGTAACAATCTCTATTGGTGTAAACGTATGGCTCCTTTTAACAACTGCAGCCTAAACTCTCTTTTTAACTAGTTGGAGAAACCATTTGTATTTCCTTTGTATGTGCTCATCCTTCGAATCATTTCATTTTATCTTATGAAATTGTTTCCAATCCCAAAATACTTCATGTAATATTCATGGGGCTGAGTAAGTGCCTTGCGTTCCTTACATTTGCATATATCTATCTTAACTTTGCTTCCAACATATCTGTAATCACTTGTTAACAGATCTTGTTTGATATTTGAATCTAGGTGACGACAGTTGATAAATTTCAAGGTCAGCAGAATGATTACATATTACTGTCTCTAGTTCGAACCCGCTTTGTGGGGCATCTTCGTGATGTTAGAAGATTGATTGTGGCCATGTCTCGTGCTCGACTTGGTTTGTATGTATTCTGTCGCCGGTCTCTGTTTGAACAATGTTATGAACTGCAGCCAACATTTCAACTTCTGCTTCAGAGGCCTGACCGACTTGCTCTCAACTTGAATGAGATAACATCTTACACAGAACGTAATGTTGCAGACACTGGTCCTGTTTACCATGTGAGTGGTAGTGAGGAGATGGCCAGCATTCTGGAACAGCTTTATCAGGTATTATCACAAACTTATTGCTTGTTTCAAATAGCTTTTGAAAAAAATGTTCTTTAATTGAAATTAATTTTCTTATCAGCACCTCTGGAAGAACTAAATATATAAAATGGGTTTAGTAAAAAGCTTATTTTGAGTTATTTAGATCATCAAATGTGATTTTTTTTCTGTTCTTATGTAATTTGTGTGTTAGTCATGCGGATTGCTGAACTTTTTCCCTGCAGATTCGGATCAGCAGCCACCAATATGATGGGTATATCACACATCCGGGCGATGACATACAGCAAAATGATGTTCCTACGCAAAATGATATGGATACAGAGCAAGCCAATAATGAAAGTGTTTCAGACACCACCGTGGAAACTTCAAAGACCGATGGCCTTGCAAATGGTACAAATGGTACAAATGGTACAAATGGAGATTCTTCAATTGAAAATGGTTCAACTGGGAATGAAGATCACGATGCTAAAAAATACGGTGGGTTGAAGGAGGAGCCTATGCTCGAGGATAGTTCGACTAAGAACGAGGATAATGAGACTGATAAAGATGATGGAAATACTGTGCTGCAGGAAAGTAATTCTGATGGAACAACTACAATGGAAGAATAATTTGGTTTGTTACCTCATTGACGTAATTGGTTTCTGAAATTTGAAAAATATGATTGACACGACGACGACGACGTCTCAACCGCCTGATGACATTAGCAATTTTAGAGAAGAGGACTAAACACTGATAAACTTGTAGGTGATCAAAGATTCAAGACGAGAGAGTTTCGAGCTGATCAGTCACTCCATCTTGTCATCCGAAAGGCATATCTTCGGTAGAAACACGGTCTTGCAAGGCTGCTAGAGATTGCTCGACAGACCGTCCTCAGTGAAAGAAGCCAAACTGATTTTGTGATTGAATCTGATTTCTAGCTGTGCTCAATATTGGGGGTATTCTGTGGAATTGGATTGTATATTTAAGCCTTTCATGTCCAGTAGTTTCAAAGTTTTTGATTTTGTAAAAGCATAGCTTTGAGGGTTAAATGAGTAGTAGAGATTATAATTATAATATAATTTCCACATAATTGATGCAATAAATAATTATAAATTTAGTTCTTAAAATTTTAAAATTTGAGATTTATGTATATTTTGAACTTTCAACTTTAAAATAAAAAATATTGCCTCAAAATTTTTAAATTTTTAAAATTTACGAAGTTATTAGATATAAAATTTAATTTTTTATATAATAAATCTTATTTTTTAAAAAAAAAATCCAATTTAAGCAAGTTCTATAATATATATATATATATATATAATTTAAAGAATGATTAAATATTTTTAAAAAAAATTAGAAATCATATACACTCAAACTTATTAGTATTATAAAAATATTCAAATAATTGTATTTTTCCACTTTTAAAATTCACCAGAAAATGATTTAGAGAGAGAGAGAGAGAGAACCCCAAGGTTTATGCTACTACCGAACATTCCAGTCTTAGGGTAATCGCCATTCCTTCATCTTCTCCTCGTTTCCGTAGCTCACCTTCTGATTACTCGCCGAATCCGTTGAAGCTTTTTTTCTTCTTCTTCTTCTGGATATGGAGGAGGAGATACGAACCTCTGTTGATTCGTCTTCTTCCGTCAATCTTCCTTTGCGGACCATCTGTCATGTGTATGCCGTTCTCTCATGGATTCATCTTCATGATTACTGCTTCAAATTTGTTTTCCTCAATTTCCTAATCTCATCCTTTTCGATTTTGAATGCTAATGCAGGTGCCACAAGCAATTTTCACAGTATACGTGTCCTCGTTGTAATTCTCGGTACTGTTCTCTGCAATGTTACAAGGTTGGTGAAAAAAAAAAAAAAAACCATGCATATTTTGGTCATCAGAATATTATAGTTTCACTGAGTTTAATTTTTAGGATTCTTTTAGGTTATTAGGAAGCTCTATTGAGTGGCTTATTTACTTGAATTGTTTTTGGGCTTGCAGTCTCATAGTAATCGTTGTACCGAGTCCTTTATGCGAGAAAATGTTGTTGAGGAGCTGCGGCAATTGCGGACGGATGATAGTACTAAACGTAAAACGCTTGACATTTTGAAAAGATTTCATTCGGAAGAGGAAATGGAAGACTTGGATGAGGATGGTATGTGGTCGCAATCCTTGACTCACCACTATTACTTTTTCGTGGCCAGGACTAGTTGTCTGTTGGCGGATTTTTAGCAATGTTAAAAGGGCTATTGAGGCTTACGCCTCTTTTGAACCTTCAGAGACTTGTGCGTCTGTGAATGATTAGAAGAATTATATTAATTTCCCTCATCCTTCAAATAAATAATAATGTTCGAGTTGACACAATGTGAACTATTGCTCCTTGTCTACTTCTATAACCTTGAAAGCATTGAAGATAAAAATTTATGGTATAAGTCGATTCAATTATTGATAATATCGATTTCTAGTTAAGTGGCGATTGATGAGGTGATTTTTTTTTAATATACTTCTATATGACTATTATGTTTAGTAATACTTAGTCCTTAGAGTTAGTAAAGATGTCATTGATTATATTTGAGGCTTACGTCTCATACTTGCTCAAGATCATCTTTAGCCTTTTAAAACATTTGATTCTAGTACTTGGTTGAGTGATGCTTTGCTTCTGTAGTTGAGCCATGTTATCGTTACTTTTATAAGTTTTTTAATGATAAAATTGAAATGAAAATTTCTTTTTGTGAAGCTATTTTAACGAAGTTTTGTCCTTAAATCTTCCAACAGCTTATTATCTGCTATAACATGACTAAAGACTTTTTGTGCCTTGCAGATTCAACTTTATCCGAGGAAACTATTGAAAAAGTTCTTGCAGGTAAGTTCCTTGGAATCACTTAGAAATCATTTATTGTGATAAGTCTTGATTCTACCTGAATTTCTTCCAATGCTTTTGAACAGATTTTTCAACTCTTCTGTTTTCATGATGTGTACTCATCCGTAGGGTTTCTACAAGTTCATTTTTTTGAGTTTCGACTGTCTCCAGGTATTAAATCGTCTGATTCACATTGATGAACATAGATTTTTCTTCCTAATTTCTGTAGGTGGCCAACTCAGTTTTGATGATCTGTCTGCGGAGGAGAAGAAACGTTTCTTAAGAGCTATGGCATCAGGAGAGTTGAGCAAGATGATTGAACCTTGGGAAGCTTGGTGGACGAAACCTTCTGCTAGAACCATATCTCTGAGCAAAGAAGGAACACCACTTGTTCAACTCCATGCTGAGCAGCAATCGACAATTTCACTAACAAGTGGAGTAGAAGCGAACCAATCAAGTGAAATTCCTCGAGCACCCGATACCCCATTACCTCTGCTTAGCAAGCTTAGTTCTGCGAAGCCATCACCTCTGTTGGCTGTTCATCTGGTTGATATCATCTATAGTTACTGTTTCACACTTCGCTTGTATAATGGAGACTGGCAGTCAGATGCTATAGGATCAGCTCTGGTTGTTTTGAGTGTCTCCTCTGTCTTGGGCCAAAGTGGTCAACCAGAAACAGTTCTAGAAGCCCTATCATCTTGCTTGGAACAAACCTGCTCCCCCGCTTACCGACACGTGGGGGGCTTGCAGCTTGGATTGAGTCTTATCGACGATGTTGCAATCCTGCTTTCTCTGGGCGATCCTGCTTTAGTGTGCTTGCTTTGCGACTTGCAGAGGCTTATTCAAGCTGGGGAAAGAGATTTGAAATCAGGAAAGAGGAGAAAAAAATCTAGATGGTCAGACATTGGCACTAAGCTTAAACACGCTGACAGGAAGATCTTTTTCATCATGTGCTGGGTTCACGAGCAGCCAAGTGAAGCTTGGTCAACTTTGGAGAATATTGTGAAAATGGAGAAGAGTTCAATAATGGAGTTTGAGCATCATAAAATGTCTACAAAAATGGATAGTAAGGCCAAAAGCAGCGATAAAGTTTTGATAGAGGAGATAAAATGAGAATCGTGTGCAAACAATGTGTATTTGTTGTGTATTATCTTTGCCCTGGTATACATTAAGGATCCATTATGGCTTGGAGATCCTATTTGAAGGGTTTTGGATAACCTATATGCTCAATCCTCGGAAAAAATATAGAGAGGGAATGCTACAACTACGATATGAGTGGCTGTTGTAATTTCTCAGGTGCTAAAAAATACATCAAACAAGCTCTTTCAGGGGCCCTGTCTCTTACAACTTACAGACAGTCTACCACAAGACCTATACTTCCTCAGAAGCCTCCTTCAATTACTCAGTGCCTCTCTTCCTGCTATGCCTAACTGATTGGCAAACAGGCGGTGGATTCAATCTACAAGTATTTCTATCACTTGCTCGTCTCAAACAGCCCATTACTTCTCTCCCTTGGTGCTTGATTATGACCATTTCCCTTCCTTCGACAAATTTAAATTCAGTGGAAGGTCTGTTTGCAGGCCTATTAGCTTTATAATAGCTTATGAAACCCCAAAATATGGACAATGAAGGTAATTTACATTCACAAGATATGGTAGTGTATTCCTTTCATCCTTCTCTATGGTGTTTATGAAATATGGTTCTTTGGAAGTTAATTCCATCTCTACTACATAATTGAACATAAGAGTTTCTTCTCATCCAGCTCTTTGCTACAGAATTATCAGCCAAAACCCGGTGCTTAAAACGAACCGACACCAAAATCAGATAGGATTATAAGCAAATAAGATAGAAACCTACAATAAACAAAACTTTTGGCCAAAAACTGGCTAAAAAACACAAGGCATGAATTTTTAAGCTAATGATAGAAACAAGGTAGTTGGCTAACTTTATTTGGATTTTGTAGTTGTCTTACTGACAATGCCATCAAGTTTTTCTTGCAAGGGACAATCTCTGACTGTTTCAAACAACCATAAATTTAGCACAAGTTTTAAACAAGCATCTGTTAAGAGAGGTTCTTCTATTCTTTCCTTTTTTGCTCTGTTTCTTCATTACAAAGTGGTTTCATGCACTTGAGAAATGGATTGCACCACTGTAAGTTACAGAGGGCTTTAGTTAATGTAATATATATTGGCTACAGATCATAGAAGGATCTACATAATACTACACACTTTTTTATAAAAAAACGAAATGATAAGATAAGGGGAATATATTCAGTATCCTATAAACAGGAACTTATTCTTGACACAATGTTAAGAATGCACAGATTCTCACTACAATGTTAATGGAAAACAAAAAACCCTCTCAGTCATGTTGTTCACACCCATTTCAGCTTGGTGAAGTTCTAAATGTTTTATCATCTAATGATTCCAAAATTTGTCTTTCTCATCAAAGACGAATCTTCCTGTAACGGCCCAAACTCACCGCTAAGAGCTATACCTTTCGGGCTTCTCCTCAAGAATTTTAAAACACATTTGCTAGAGAGAGGTTTCCACACATTTATAAATAATGTTTCGTTCTCCTCCCAACCGATGTGGAGCCTCACACTCACTTAGAAACCTCTGTGGGGCCTCACTCTTTCACTTAGAAACCTCTAATCTTTGTTCTACTTTCTTGAAGAGTGGAGAATTAATGAACTTAGCTGTGAGCATACTCTTCATCATGAATAGCAAGATTCTCTGTTAGGTAAAGTAAGTACTTTCTAAGCATATATAGGCAAGCAATATATGGGTTGTTCATTGAAGTAGTGAAACCTCACGGCCACTGATTTGTCTTTCTTCTGATGGCTCGTGAAGACGCAAAGAACAAAGAGTGCTGCCATGTAGCAGCAGATGTTCCAAACCAGCCTCAGCCATCAGGTTTTTTTTTTTAACTCTTTTCTTGTGGTTTGTGTGTGTGTGCGTGTGTGTGTGTGTGTAGATGGGGAAAGATTCTTATGTAAATCTTGTTTCAACTCACTTATCAGAAAAAAAGAGTTTTCGATGCCCACATACACAAAAGAAAGGGAACAGAAACTTCCTTGAAGGATGGTAAGTGTAGTTCTCAACCACTGTTCTTTCTTTCTGCAGTTTCATTGGTTACAAGTTTTGGTTCACTTTCGTAAGCACTCTTTCTGATTTAGTGTAAGAATTCAGGAAGATTGTCTTTTCATTGTGCAGATGCACATTGTTTTATCTGTTTACTGTGTGTTTCATAAACTAGTAGTGATTTTCAAAATTCTCTGCAGCATCTTTGCTTTGTGCTGTTGCTGGATTTGTGATGCTTGCTTTGATGTTAGTGTGACTGTGTGATTAACATCAGCAGCAGCAGGATTTACGCCATATGCATAGCCAACAGACAACTATCTAGCAATTTTACTGTTTAAGACATGACTGGATGTACTCATGTGATGTGATATATCTCAAACCAAATATTAGCTAAACACTTTTTTCTCTTCATATTGTATTAGTTCTTCCAGAACTCAGGCTGCTGTTCATATTTTCTTGTGACTTCCAACCTTATAAGTTTGAAGTCATTGTAATGAGAAGTGAAAACGTGTGAAATAGAGAGATTTTCTCATCCACAAATGGGTTACGCCTCACCAAGCCAAGAATGGTATTGATTATCCAAAGTATGTAAAGAACCAATCTAAAACAATTTGTTTTCTCGACTACGATGGTATAACCGAACAATTACTGGATCATTGAGAAGCAGTTTAATGTCACCAAGGCAGCCCAAATCTTGTGGTTTGAGAAATCTAGAACAAGACTGAATAAAAGGACGAATTTGATGATGTTTTTAACAAACTTTCGTGTTTAGACATTTAAGTGGTTGTGTAAAGATCATGGTTTATGTAACAGCTCAAGTCCATCGCTAGTAAATATTGTTCGTTTTGGCCCGTTACGTATCGCTGTCAACCTCACGATTTTAAAACGAGCTTGCTAGGGAGAGGTTTCAACACTCTTATAAAAAATGCTTCGTTCCTCTCTCCAACCGATGTGGGATCTCAAAATCCACCCTCCTTGGGGGCCCAATGTCCTCGCTGGCACACCGCCCAAAGTCTGGCTCTTATACCATTTGCAACAGTCCAAGCCCACCGCTAGCAGATATTGTCCACTTTTGCCCGTTACGTATCGCCGCCAGTCTCACAATTTTAAAATGCGTCTACTAGGGAGAAGTTTCCACACCCTTATAAGGAATGTTTCGTTCTCCTCTCTAACCAATGTGAGATCTCATACAACGAAATTACCTGCAACAAGATAAATTGAAACACCAGCTCTTGTCCTAATTGCCTGAGGTCCTTCCGAGAGAGACGCCTTTTTAACAATGGTTTCAAGATAATCTAATGAATTCCAGGTGTTGTTGTGCTGCTCTTCTATGATAAGCCAATCTAGGAATCCAGACGCCTTTTTCAACTCTTTTTGTACTTCAAAAGTTGAAATTACTTGCAAGTATGAATTCACATTCGTATTTCAACGCAAAATCTTTGGAGGAACTGAATAAGTAAAGCCTAATGCATCCTTAACTACAATGGTTTATGCTGATCAAACTGGACATGAATGTTCAAGGACAAAATCATGGTATGTATATATATATGCTGTTAAAATTTGCTCACAGGTACCTAAATTATTGAAGTTGAAATAGCTCCAGCTGTTGTAATACCTTTGCGATGGCTGATTCCAAGCTTGAATCCCCTTTCTTGGATAAATCAACAAGCACTGACCAAGCAGTTTCTCCATATTGGACTCCATGCTCCTCTATTCTGAATATCCTCTCCAGAATCCACAATGCTTTCTGTTGAGTATCAATGTGGCCTGAGCCTAAAACTTTCAAGATGCCTTGAACTCCACACATCTTAACTATGTACTTGCTTCCATTGTCACAAATTTCATCTTCCAAAAGCGTGGTAAGAGCACTGAGGACGGCTTCATCTACTTCCCTTTCTTTTCCTTCCAAAATTTGGATCATGGGAGGGATTGCATCAGCCTTGACCAAACAAAATGTGGTTTTTATGAAGCATTGCCTTCCATGAACTTCACAAACTGAATCTTTTGAGTAAGGAACACACAACCATCTTGTAGTCCGGGACTTGCTAAGAGAGAGCGAGTTCTGCGACAACTGCGCTAGTGAAGTTGCTGCTTTGCACTGAGCAATGGCTGACTTGCTTGACAGCAACTTCACCAGTAAAGGAATTACCCCTTGTTCTGCTGAATGAAGCTGTAATTTCCTATCAAATGGATTCGTAAACTGTACTAATAAACCCGCTACGCTTTCTGACAACAAAGATACATAAACATCTGAATTAGCTAAGCTGGAGTTCATGATGGATATCAAGATGGGTAGGAGGTTTGCTTTTCTCAGCATATCTGTTGCTTTCTTTTGAGTTACAGAAACATTACTCAGTATACCAACTGCAAAGACCCTTTCAGCTTTGCAACTTGTAGAGGAAATTATACTCAGAATTACACTGATTTGGCTCTCTTCTAGCTCTTCTGGTGCATCTTTGGATAGAGTATAAAGCAATTTTAAGGCACCGCTCTTGATCTTAGTATTGTTTTCCATCACAAAGGGAAAGAGAAGCTGGATTGCACCATTCTCCACCATGTTTATCCTAACTTCAAGCGCACTGGAATTAGCAACAATGTTATTGAGTGCTTGTAAGAGATGATTCTGAATGACTGGACTTGATAAGTTCAGAAGTGAGAGCATTTGCAAAGCCATTTCATGGTTCATCAGAAATGACTCTGATTCAGACATCCTTGCAAGAATTGCAGCTGCAGGTTCTCGAAGAGTCATAAGCACAGAGGTTACAGAGAAAAGGAGTTGAAGCAATGAAATGACCATCCCAGAATCAATCAATCGCTGGACATTTTCGTTCAAGCCTGAGAGGCTTTGCAATGCGCTTAATGCTGATAATTTGGCTTCAAGCTTTTCAGTACGGAACATTTGGACAAGAGGTTCTATTGCCCCTTCTTCTCCTAGTGAGGCTTTGCTTTGTTCGGTGTGTTCCATCCTTGATAGTCCCGTTGCCATAAGGATCTTATTCATGTCAGAACCTAAAGACATGGAAAGCATTCAGCATAGATAGCTCATGAATTTCTTAACCTTAAAAGCATAAATATCATTCTTTTTATGAGCTAGAAATCCAGATGTTTATAACTAGACGCGAATTTGGATCCTCGAGCAATCTAGATTCCTTTGTGAGAGGGATGTTCGATGGACACTAGAATCAGCCACATACCTCTAAATTTTTATGATATCGTCTACTTTGGACATAACTCTCATGGTTTTGTTTCTAAAAGATCACCTAGAAGGCCCGTACAAATAGAGATAGTATCTCTCACTTGTACATTTACGATCTTCCCTTTATCTAGTCTATGTGGGACGTTGGTCGCCCTGTCAAGCAAGACGCTTTTAACTTTGCAACGATATGATTATTGTATTGAACCCCACTAAATGATAGACATGATATTAAGATAAGGCATTAGTTCTTCTTAACCGAGCTACTATAATTGCTCCCAGGTGTCCTGTCTAGTTCTCAAAGTATGTTCTGAAAAAATAAGAAAAATGCATACTAGTTGGAGTTTTTGCTTACTTTACCTTCTTTCAAATGCTGTACCATTGGCTTAAAATAGCCAGCTTCTGCCATGTGGAGCACATTCTGGGTGTTCACTGACAATACATTCAACAATTTCCTTGCATTACAGGAAGCAATCTGATCGTCCCCATTCAGAATGGCAACCAACATAACAATACAACCCTGAACTCTGCCAAGCCGGCGCCTTACATTAACAAGATCACTGAGTTCCAGCAACAGCCCCACAGCTTCCCTCCTCTCCTCCTCGTCCCCAGCCAAAGACTTGACCAATGTTGACAAGGCTCCCACATTTGATATCAATCCCTGCAAATTATTGTGTTTCAGTGGATTGAAAATAATGGATTCAAATCAGATGCAATAGTCTTGTGGTGTTCTACCTTGCTTGCAGGACTGTTCCAAACAAGATACCTAAGTACTTGAATGATTATAGATTGATTCGCGGATTTGCTAGAATCCATACGATTCAGCAAAATCGAAACGATTCCCTCTTCGTTGAGCCATTCATCATCAACATTTTTATTATGTATCAACTCTTTCAACCCCACAACTGCAAGCTTGAATTCATCATCATTTCCATACTTGAGATGATGTGCAATGTCACAAACTCTAGTGCTAATTTGTTGTTCTTCAATCTCTTCCACTCTCAAATCACATACGAACTCTGTGGTTCGACTAGAAGTTGAAGTTGAAGTAGGACTGCAATTCTCACTAAACTTCAGGTTCATCAGTTCCTTGTGCAACTCCCCAATCTTTGCTTTGAATTGCGTAGAGACCTCAGCAGTAGCAAACAGAACAAGGCCCAAGGACCGGCCAAGATCATGGGCAATAGACTCAACATGTTTCATCTTTTGGTTGGGGACATTTATCAAACACTTGGCACGCATTATCTCCTTCTCAAGAGATCCAACAGCTTTTCTGATTGATGGGGTGTCCATGATCTTGTCATACTCCCTCAAATCACTGAAAATTGGTGGGATTCTTTCCAAAACAAGAGCTAATTCATTAAACATCTCCTTTTCTGTTTCAGAACTCTTGGATATGGAAGCTAACTCATCCGTAGACGCTATGATTCCAGAGATAACCTCAGAGAAGGTTCGGTTTTCGATCTCCTTCACCTGTTTCATCTCTCAATTGAGTCTCATGAACAACAAAGAACAGAAATACACAGAAATGCTCAAAAGGGTCAGTGATGAATTCAAAGTAGAAGAGGAAATATAAAGAAACAAGAACAAGAACAAGAAGAAGATTGGAAAAAAGACAGAGAGTTGCAGTTAAATGAGTAGCTGTAGGCATGAACTTTGAACTGGAAAACGTAATAATAAACGTTAAAGGCATAGTGTTCTGTGGGGCTGAGGACATCTTTGGTGTTTATTGGAGCATTGGGAAGGAGGGATCGGATAGGAGTGGCGGACGGCCGTGTCGCTTGGCCAACTCCCTTTGTCCGTCCCTTGCACGTTGGAATGAAAACGACTCATCGTTGACCAAGTCTTTTTTATTATTTTATTATTATTATTTTAATTTTTATCGGTAGTTTTGACTTAATTTTTTATTTGGTCTCAAATTATTTGCATTTTGCATTTAGTTTTTATTTAGTTCACTGATTTTAAGTCTCCATTTTAATTTCAAGTTAATTAATTAAATATAATTATATAAATTTTAATTAATTTTAATAGTGATGAAAAAAGTAATAAAAATTTATTTAATTATTTTAAATTAACTAATAAAAAATTAACATTAAGAACTAAAGTGAGCTTTGTAAAATTTTTTAAGGGGAATATGTAAAATCTCAAAATTCAGGGGCAAAAGTATAGTGTTTTGAAAATATAAGGACCAAATTAAAATTAAAGTACTTTTTTTTTTATATATAAAATATACTATATTGCAACTACCATCTTGAATATATATATTACAAGAAATAATATTATTTTTAATAAAGTAAAAAAGAAAATATTGATTTGTGTAATATGATGTCACTATAATCTATATAAAATGAATTTCTAATTAAAAGGAAAAGGCAAAATAAATTATAAAGGGAAAAAAAAAACTTAAATTTCTCTTTCATTTAAATTAAATTGATTTATATGTCCCTCTTGATTCATATAAATAGACTTCAATATATTAATATTTGCAACCAATTTATAAATTTTATGCTTTGATTTGCACTAAAAGAATTTATAATTTGACAAAAATAATAATTATAAGAAGTTCGAGTTCATACGTTATTGACTATAAATTAAGTCTTATTCGTCTTTGTCGTTCTTTAATAAATTCAACATTCTGTGAGACAATCCAAATGGATGTTTATCTATGCTTTGTCTATACCCGAGCATGTTCTAAATTATTAGAAAAAAATTGGATTAAAGGAAATATAGTTTTTTATTAAAAAAAATAGAGAAAAAGAGCGGAATAAATATTTTTAGGAATAATCTATCGGTTAAATATTTATGATGTTATCGTTAATATAAGTACAGCTGAACAACAAAGGCGTCATTTATTTTTATGGAGGTCCGAGATTCAAGTTCTCTCTCTAAATTTGTCAAATATAATTTTTTTATTATAAAATAATTATTTTGAACGAATAATTTACTAAACCTATTCACTGAATAAAAAAAATTAGTTTAGCTGACTTATTATTTTTTTAAGATTGGTTATTTAAATTCTCATACACCATATTTGTTGTACTAAAAAAAATGTGTTTTTTTAACAACTTACGACACGACTTGGATCACGGGATTTCGATTTACATAATGGAGCATGTATGAAAGGTTTTAACCCGAGCAACAAGATACAAACGTTTCGTTGATATATGAAAAAAAAAAAAAAAAAAGAACGAATACTTGTATGTAACATTCTACTAAGAATTTCTTGAATCAATAAGTACTTCATAACGATATCGTTTTTTGTTTTTTGTTTTTAACACCAAGCGTAATCCTGTTTCGTTGATTTTACTAGATTTTACTGGGCTTATTAGTGGTCGAAAATGGCTCAAACTGTTCCATTAAAGGTATAATGTTTGGATATGAATGTTGTGTAGCATATGATGAAGATGATAACCTTTTAACTCAGCAGATGATAGCTGCTGAAGGAAGAAATTCTCATGTTCTACCAGAAACTTACTGTCATGCATTCCTTCTCTTTTCCAATAAGCTTTGTGTGTCCCATCTCTTACATCATTTTCTTTTCTTTTTTTCGGGATATTTGTAAATCCTTATCAAATAATGAACTCAACCGTAAAATTTTTGTGTTAGGTTGGTTCGAGTTGTTCGGGGTCAGATTTACAACTTAGCGTCAATGTATACAACTCAATAGATCTTTTAAAATTAACAATAAATTTGAGTTGGTTCTGTTCGAACTCAAGAACTGACAAATCAATTCAATCCACAAAATCTTCATTTATTTGAATCAAACTCAATCCAAATAAGCTCGTAATCCAACCAAATTTTTCGAGTGATTGGGAGTTGGGTTGGTCGGGAATTTAGCCTATTTCATGTTAACTTATAGGGTTAGGGAACAGATGAAAAGGCTTACATTATGAAACAAAAAGCAGAAAGAAGAGAAAACATAGTTTATTATTTGATTGAACACAACAAGAACAAGAAGAGTGAAGAGTAGTAGTAGCAAAGGAAGCTGACTCCAAAATAAACTCTTGGTTTCTAAAACTTAACTATGCGGTAAAGCTTATTATTCCATGGCATTATAAGAGCTCATGAGCATAGTTTGTTTCAAGGATGAGTGGGGAACACTGGCGGATAACGTGGCTTTGGAAATGGCTTCTTGAGGATTGGGTGATGCGGAATTGGCTTCTTTGGAGCTGCCTTCAAAAGCGGCTTCTTGTAGAATGGTATGTGGTGTGGAATAAGCTTCAATTTCTCTGCTTCGGTCTCTTCCCCTTCTCCTTTGGTGCCTGCATAAAATGAAGACAGACATGATCAAAACAACAAGCATTTTTAGCCTGAAAATGACCCAAAATGAGCCTAAAAGGTTGGTGAAGGTACCTTGGGCGGCCTCCAACTTACCCATTTCTTGCTCTGCTGCATAGCAGAGGTTGGCAAGCAAAAGGAAGCAGAGGAGCATGGAAACAGTCTTCATTGCAAGAGGAGAGAATTTTGGTGAAGAAGGCTTTTAGGATGAGTTACTCAGTGTTGCCCATACTCATCCCATTTTATAGTGCCTAAAGCTGTGTGATTGCTAACTAAAATTCATGGTTTTTTGACCTCTCAGGTGGCTAAGGGCGTTTGGGAGTGAGTAGGTAATCTCACCACCTTTTTCTGCTTAGGATATATATTAGTAGCTACCACCTATACTTTTAACGACCATTTACTTACCCTTTCGGGACGTTCGTTGCTTTCACACTGTAGAAGAAAGAAGGCGTTTGTTTCAGTATTTACTGACCTTTATGAGTATATGTATACATGAGATTCGGCATACAAAACCAGCTTTGTATGCTTTGAATTCATTAGCATTCAATCTAATCTCCAGCTACCAACTATATACTTAACTAACCATCCTTCACTGACCTCTTTTTTCATTATTATGGGACAATGAAATCCTATAACTTCCTCCGATCTCTCTTATTAGAGCCAATTCCTCGACCTTAGATCACATCGTGGAATACATGGCACTAGCCAACTCTTTCGAGCCACACTTGTTTGATATTTTGAGGTTTTACTGATGACTATGTTTTGTTAGGCTCATTGATTATTGTTTTACAAACGAGGATTCCACAAACATAGCTAAGTTTAAGGCATAACTCACCGACTGGGATTTTCGGGATTTCATAAATATTCTTAGACCTGACCCAACACTTCTCTTACTCTCTCAAGGATTTCTTGGATCAAAATCAACAGGAGTTCAGCAGTGCTTAAACTGATACATTGGTAAACGAACAGAAACTTCATATTTGAAACTTACACAGTTATTTTAACAGAAATAGAAACAAAGCTTTATTTAAATTGGAAATAACTTCATCCAATTCAACAATTAAACACACAAACAGTAATAATAATAGAACTGAGCCTTCTTTTTTAACATATTTCAAGGATGGGTGGCGAAGACTGGTGGGTTAAGTGGCTTTGGAACTGGCTTCTTGAGGAATGGATGAATGGGGATTGGCTTCTTGAGAAATGGATGATGAACTGGGATTGGCTTCTTCAGAAAAGGATGTTTGTATGGAATTGGCTTTAGAAATGGCTTCTTCAAGTATGGCTTGTGGTGATGAAGAAACATGAATTTCTCTTCTTGGTCTTCCTCTCCATTTTTAGCTGCTACACCAGCAGCACCTGCATATAAATTCCCTTCATTACAATCCTTACTATCACTTGGTTTCATTGGAATTTTAGCCTAAAGCGACTAGATTCTATAGATCGTAGTAATTCGTCGACCTCTCTAAACTAAAATACAATACAATTTCACTTCTGGGTCGGCCATCTTGACCTCTTATTGAACAACATTAGACAAAGAACACAGAATGTGTGCAAAGAACTACAGTTTTCATTACAAGGGGTTGAGCAAAACAAGAAAATAAGCCTCAAAATGCCAAAAAAATGTAAGTAAAGTACCTTGGGCAGAGTGGAGTTCGGCAACATTTTCTTCTGCTGCAAAGCAGAAATTCACAAACAGAAGCAAGGACAGGATAATACCCAGAAAAATGGAAGCAGTTTTCATTGCAGAGCTAAATTTGCTTCAAATGTGGTTTGGTTGAGAAGGCTCTGTGATGTGTTTGTTTTGGCAATCCTCATTATATAGCTTCATCAGTGAGGCCTTTTTGAGTGGCAACCACTTTTGAAGCTGTGTTAATGCTGCTAAAATTCTTGGTGCTCAAACTGTTTGGTAATTAAGGGGAGTGTCTTTCTAGTCTCAGCCTCCTTTTTCGTTTAAGATTCATTATTATTTGCTTTCATCTCCAACTACTACCTGTACCACTAAACATTTTGCTTGCCTTCTATTCTCTACAGAGACTAGTTCTTGAATTTTCAACTGAAACTTTCGAAATTTATAAAATTCAAAAGATTACTGTTCGTGTTCCATAAGACGTAAGATTCAATTTTATATCTAAAAGAGGGATCTCGTTTACATAGAATTACAAGTTTTGCACTTAGAAAGCAAAAAAGTAAAAGAAAATTTAGTTCTCTTGTTCTTAATGACAAGAATGATTTTACT